ATAGCCCAATCGTACGCCTCGTCCACTGCGCCTGGAATAGCTCAGCTGCGTGTCGCAGGCCTATTGCCCAGTCAAGAGGACAAAGTCCCTCCACCACCCTTCCCCCATGCATCTGCGAGCGTGTCCAAACAACACAATGGCCCCGCTAAAGTCCAAGAGGAAATGGCCAGACCGCCTTCACGCCTCTACGCCGTCCACGCCTCTTCAAAAGGTGGTGCCGTCCAAGGCCATCCAGAGGCTCAGAAGAGGGCTCATCTCGATTCTCTGTCGACGCTGATGCATTGCTGTCTGCTCAAGGGAGATTACGAGCGTGCGGGGAGAGCGTGGGGCATGATTTTACGGACGCAGGTTGCTGGTGGGCGCCCTGTAGATCCCCGTAACCACGGACGCTGGGGCATCGGTGCTGAAATAGCGCTGCGTCGAACGCCACAGACGCTGATGGAGCACAGATTCTCTCCAGAAGGCTTTGAGCTTGCTCGTGAATATTATAATCGTCTCATTATCCAACACCCAACCCGGAAATTGCAACCCCATGCTGTTGACGAGAGGACATTTTACCCACCCATGTTCTCGTTGTGGATCTACGAAGTCCGCGAAAAGAGCAAGCGTGCAAGACAGCAGCTGCACGACGACGTTGCAAACCAATCGCGCTCCTCTCGAAGCACGTCAGTCGACAGTAACATCAGTGAGACTCCGGACAACTCTTCCGCAAAAGAGGCGACAATTCAAGCGGAGGAACTTAATCAGGCTCTGGAGATTGCAGAGCGCCTCGACCAAGTCATATCATCTCCGCCATTTGATAAGCAGGCAAGTCTCCTGGAACTCCGTGGCCACATTTCTTTATGGGTTAGTGATCTCACAATGGGAGATATGGACACCCATGCGGACTGGGCTATGGATCCATCTACGCACTCAAGTCCAGCTCCAGAACAGCTCAAACGACTTGCAAAAGCTCATCATGAAGTGCTAGCAGCGCAGGCGTTTCTCGAAAGAGCTGTTGCGAATGGGGCTGAGAGCCAGGCAGCAACTTTGTCAAGTATCAACATCAAGCGTCGGAGTCTGGTCAAAACTATGGAGCAGTTGCGTACTGCCAGGTGAGGCAAGCACCTCACGGATGAACAAACTTTGATTTCCGCGTTATACCCAACCTCTTCTTACAAGACTATTACAATTTGAGACCATGCACCAAGGTCCCGATACGTGAGTATCCGCTTCTCACATCTCTCTTCTCGTATATGTCAACCCGCCTCCAGCAGTATCTGACTGAGGTCCGACCCCTGCAAGCAGCGCAAGTCTAGGCGTAGGAGGCGGCGAGGACAAGACAAAAAGCAAAGTCAGCCACCTCCCAATCATACACAATCCCGCACAACAGCCTCGTATGTGGAACGATAAATATGGCTCCGAGCTCAAACCTAGAAGGCGGCGCAATTTGCGATCGAGCGTGTCGAGTCGCATTAACATGACCAACGATGTCACATGAGCTTGACATAACATAATCGCACGCCAACAAGAGGAGAGGCAACGTTGAACTCGAATCTTCATTTGGGCAGTAGAGTCTTCGCCCGGGTATCCTAATGACTGAGAAAGAAAAGCTAGTAAGAAAGCCAGACCCGTTTAAACGCCAAAACACCCCCGTGAGAAGCCAAAGTCATCCATACCCTTCCCGCCAACACTACATCAATCAAAGGAAGCCACCAAAGACAATCCCACGGGTTTGACATGCTAGCTCAAGCCATCTAGCACTGAGGCGAGTTGCAGATCTTACGCACGTTCTGGGGTACGAAGGTCTGGGGTCCACCAGTGCAGACGCGCTTGTCGCCTTCAGTGTGGCAATTAAGCGGGTCGATCTTGACTGCGGTACCTGAGATCCACTGGTTGCTGGTCTACTGTTAGTGGTCGTATGTGAAGGAATGTAGTAGTGGACTCACCCTGAGCAGGTCCAGGAGTGGCTGATCTGGTAGTAGGCCTGATCTTGAGGTCCACGGAGATCGAAGAGAAGACGGCGGTCAGCGACCTGGCACTCGTTGTTGTTGGGGACAGATGCACCGGAACCGCCGCAGTGAACGCCGTTCTGGACGGGGTCGTCGTTGCCGCCTCCGGAGAAGGAAGACTTGAAGGTGAAGTCAACGCTACCGGAGGTAGCAGAGGTGACGAGCTTGTAGTCGGAGATGGTGTAAGAGACCGGGATACAGCCTTCATCGCCGCGGACAGCAAGGCTGGCGGGAGCAGCTACGGCAACAGCGGCAAAGGCCATCGCGAGGGTGTAGGAGGAGCGCATCTTGAGGGGATGTAGCTTTGGTAAGAGATGGAAACTTGGTAGCAGAGTGAGTTGAGGGGCTGCGTGAGTTGAAGAGTTGATACTTTTGTGAGTGCGATGATGAGAAGGAAACTATGTTGGAGGAGATTTTTGGAGTTATTATACTGGCAGGAGCGTTCGCTATGGCGCAATTCGGGGCCGCTACCGGCAGGGGCGACGGGCCAGATGCGTACGAGAAAGTGACTGGAAGGCGAAAAATCGGGTTTGGGTCCGTTCGTAGGTCGCAAGACGAGCAAGATGAGCAAGTTATTTGGGGCTGTACGAAGAAGAGCTAGCGGGTTCTCGAGGTTCAGCAAGGAGATCTTGCGGCTGAAGGTGCAATTGGGCAGGTCTCAGTATAAGCTTACGCGCAGCTGTTGGGTTGTACTACCAGCAGCTGAGCTACATACTAAGGTAACTACCAATAGCTGAGCCATATGATGGGGGACTAGATTAAGGACAAAGCGACGTTTGCGAAACGAGCGTTGGAGGTTCCTAAGGGTAGCACGCCATATGGAAACCGACAAAGGCAAAGACGAGTGGCAGATGATCATGGTCAGACATATCCGTAAGAGATGTGGAAGTAGGACATCCTTGCCCGTCAGTCAACAGTAGGACACACTATGGTGAATGCAAGACCCAGAAGTAGGAACTAGAACAACAGCAATTTTTGCCACCACTTCACTCTGTAATGTAGTAATGAGAAAACTCAAAGGAAAGAGAAGTAATATATCACTAGAAACAAGCGTTGTTCTTTCATTTCTTAACCAAGGGCATTGTTGTGTTGTTGTAACATTCGAAGATTCACCTGTTCTAACTTCCGCGTTCTTGCGAGAGGATGTATGTAGCTTTGCAGGTGCTCAGAAAACAAAGAGCAAGCCCGGTGTAGTGGAGGAGACAGTACCTTGTAGGGCGATGGTGCGTCATTGGCCCAGAAGCGAAAGACCAGCATGGCACTCCCGCGGGGAGCATCGTCATTTCACATGAGCAAGTTGGCTGCCCAGACGCACTCCAACACAATGGACATCACACCAGTATTCAACCAGATACTCGCCAAACACGATGCGCGCCCGATCGAGCCTCATGTATTCCGTGTCGAGGCCCTAGATGATTTTGTGAAGGAGGCATACCGCATTGTAGGCCACGTTGCGCGCCTGGACTTGAGGGGAGGTGAAAGCTAACTGTCGCAGCGAGGTCACATTGCGAAGCTCCACACGGACCTGAAGTCGATACGGCAAAGTTATCTCTCGACGGCGCATCCTTCCCGCCGGAAGCAGTACACGCGAACCAACGGCTCCGCGACGTCGGCAGACAAAGATGCAAAGTACCTCAGCGACACGCAGCGCAACGAGATTGACGCCCAAGCGAAAGAATCGATACACGGGCTGAACGATGCTATCAAAAGGCTGGGCATTGCTGAGCAGACACGGCAGGAAACGCAGACGCAGGTTGCTTTGAAGAAGCGCGCAAAGCAGGGCCTAGGTGCGCTTGGACGATGGGCAGCAGGCGGGGCAATCACAGCAAAGAGCGTCGAGGAGGAGATCCAGGAGGCGAAGGCAAATACGATCAAGGCGCATCGAGAGGGCATAATATGGTCGCTGCAGAAGCAGCTGGAGCAGTGCGGCCAATTCCAGAGCGACATGATGGAGATACGGCTCATGCGCGAGGTGGAGAAGAGCAAGAGCGTGCTGTACAAGACGAGGACCACGGGACCAACGAGCAGCGACTACAGCGGCATGAATGGCAGCAGTGCAGGCAACGAGTCTGCAGGCTATCGCGCGAAGCCGACGTACAACCCCGACGAGTCGAGCGCGGTGATCGAGAATCAGCTCGACCCCGAGCAGCTCCAGCTATTTGCGCAGGAGAATCAGGACATGCTCAAGCAGTATGAGGACCAACTCGACAAAGTTCGGTACGTACTCGAACGTGCGCATGATGAACAACCACTGACACAGCCAGCGCAACCGAAAAGTCCCTCACCGAGATCTCGGAACTACAGTCGACGCTCGCGTCCAACCTCAGCATGCAGGCGGCGCACATTGACCAGCTCATTGAAGACTCGTTCAACACGACGGAGAATGTAGGGAGCGGGAACAAGGAGCTCAAGCGTGCGACGGAGCGGGGCAGCACGGCGCAGAAGCTGTTCTGGGCGACAAGTATCTTCTGCACGACACTTGTCTTGTGGGACTTGTTCATCTGAAGCGTGCAGGAAGACAGGCTGGTGTTGTTAGTAAACAGTCTACATGTGAATCAATCGCGACCTCGCCGTTAGTATCCGCTGCGCTCTGAGTGGACCAGATTCCCAGAAGCAGGAAAATCAGCCCATGTGGGGTGGGCAGACATGAACCAAGTGCAACGCAGACCCACAACGGTTCATGGCAAGAAATGGTCGTGGTGATGCCCTGCATGTGAGACGGCCTGTCTGGCTGACATGATGGCGCGGCAACTTGTGCCTCGGCTTGCCTGCTCACACGACGCTGCGGCAGACCTTCCGAGCGTCAACTCTATATAACGAGCTGGCCGAGAGCCGTCGCCATGTCTGCATCTCTTGCTCATCGTCTCGCGCCGGCCCTCCCGGTTCTCCGCATCTCGTCTCCAAAAGCAAACTGCGGGGTTTAGCGTGGGCGGACGCGGCTTCCCTTTCCTAGGCAGCGGCAGCGGCAGCGGTGAAACGTAAACGTGGGAGCGCTCCTACGCCGTAATCATGCCAGACTCACATACCTCCTCCTCCTCCTCCTCCACCCCTCCCCAGACCTCGTCCAAGACACGCCTCTCCCAGATCTCCTCCCACATCGAACCCATGGCTGCCACCGCTTTCGACGCGAATGTCGTCCCCCAGGCGCCCGAAGACCCGCTCTTCGGCCTCATGGCTGCCTTCCGTCGCGACGAGGACCCCAACAAGGTCGACCTGGGCATTGGCGCTTACCGCGACGACAATGCAAAGCCCTGGATTCTGCCCGTCGTCAAGAAGGTACGCCATCGCGCCTTCCTCATGTCCACACCACACAGGCTAACAGTACACGTCCCCAGGCCGACGACAGACTGCGCGACGACCCCGACCTCAACCACGAGTACCTCCCCATCGCCGGTCTTGCCGAGTTCACAACCGCCTCCCAGAAGCTCGTGCTCGGTGGTGACAGCCCCGCCATCAAGGAGAAGCGGGTGCGGACACCCCTCCATCACGTCATGACTTGAGCTCACACCACACAGGTCACCAGCTTGCAGACCATCTCTGGCACCGGCGCCGTCCACTTGGGCGCCCTCTTCCTCGCCAAGTTCTACAAGACCCAGAGCCAGCGGACCGCCTACTTCTCCGACCCGACATGGGCCAACCACTTCCAGATCTTCTCCAACGTCGGCCTCGAATACAAGACATACCCCTACTTCTCCAAGAAGACCAAGGGCCTCGACTTCGATGGCATGATCAGTGCCCTGCAAGATGCGGCAGAGGGCAGCATCATCGTACTGCACGCGTGTGCTCACAACCCCACCGGCGTCGACGCTACACAGGAGCAGTGGAAGAAGATTGCCGAGGTGATCAAGTCAAAGAAGCACTTCCCTTTCTTCGACACCGCATACCAGGGCTTTGCTTCCGGTGACCTTGCAACTGACGGCTGGGCGATCCGCTACTTTGTCGAGCAGGGCTTCGAGCTCTGCATTGCCCAGTCCTACGCAAAGAACTTTGGTCTGTACGGCGAGCGAGCAGGCTGCTTCCACTTCGTCACCTCGCCCTCATCCGATGCCGAGTCCACCATCAAGCGCATCGCCTCACAGCTCGCCATCCTCCAGCGCTCCGAGATCTCAAATCCTCCTGCCTACGGTGCCCGCATCGCCTCGACCGTCCTCAACGACCCCCAGCTCTTCGCTGAATGGGAAGACAACCTCCGCACAATGTCTGGTCGTATAAAGGAGATGCGCAAGGCGCTTCGTAGCAAGCTCGAGGACATGGGCACACCCGGCACATGGAACCACATCACAGAGCAGATCGGCATGTTCAGCTTCACCGGCTTGACAGAGCAGCAGGTTCTGAAAATCCGGGAAGACTCCCATGTGTACATGACCAAGAACGGTCGTATCTCCATGGCTGGCCTGAACACACACAACGTCGACTACTTTGCGAAGGCTGTCGACAAGGTTGTGAGGGAGACCCAGTAGGGTGGAGGCATAGCACCTTGTAGAGGTTTTCAGGAGTCTTGCTAGCCACGACTGGCCGAAGCTGGAATGTGTTACGATTATACGAGACGGCGACCAAGCCGTACTGTTGGGATGGAGAATCTATCATAGACCAGTCCTCCCCTCATCTAGACTATTAAAGTCCGCTATTGAACATCCGGATGTGATGCCATTTCCCCCCTCTGGTCTAACACTTAAAAGACTGTACAAATACATCGCTTCGGCAGACACAACGAATAAAGGGTCTCTGGACAGTCACATTCATGAGACTCGGTGTGGCATACATGATAGCAGACAAAAGAATGATATGTTCAAATCAACACATAGGGTATACAGCTCCAGCGGTCCACCTGACGACAAAGGAATAAACACCCATACAAGCAGTGAGACGAACAGTAGCCGTCCGGCACATCTTCAACTTCCTCATCATACGCACCATATTCATCATTATCGCAAACTAATGCGTCTACTTAACCCCTTTGCTATGCGTAAACCTCGCAATACTGCCAATACTCCAGCTTTTGCCCTTTCTCTCCTTTTCCCGATGCTTCTTCTCCTCACGTTCCCGTACCTCGTCACTCGATTCCAGGAGACTGTCTCCACTGAGCCGCTTCAACATGTCGAGAGTCGAAGATGTTTTACGCAGACGGCTCTTCTTCGGGGGCGGTGGCGGGACAAGATCGTCGAACGTTGGTGTGCGCCATCGTAGGACGTTCGTGTCTACGGGTAGAGGCGGGAGAGGGGCATTGTTTCGCTGTATCGTAACGAACCTATCCTCCATGGGTGGGAGAAGCATGGAAGATGCGACGGGCGATAGTATGTGTTCTTCTATGTCATCGCTGTTGTTGCTACCGTAGCTCCATGACGACTCATTCGTTCCTTGGATGGGCAAGCTTATCGCGCTACTGCTGTTTGACGAGTAAGCCGAGTACTGGTATGGGTGCGGTAGTGGTGCTGAATGAGGTGGTTCATAGTCGTCGGGTCTAGGCTCAGGTCTACTCGCGTCCACAAGGAGGGAATCTGATTGCGCACGCTCTTTGGGTAGAAAGGGATTGTCTCGGAAAGCCGGATGGTCAGACAGTGCTGGTGGCGGATATGTTGGTGCTCTCCACACTGACATTGGTGGCCTGGGTTGTCGCTGAACGTGTTGGGATGACCTGGCTGATGTGTCTGCGGAGTGTGGACGCGTCGTCATGGTTGGTACAGTCAGACTTGTTTGCGACACGGTTCTGGACAGTGGAGACAGGAGCCGTGGTGAAGCGGATCGCGCGCGCGACTCGGAGGCGGTCTTTCGTAGAGTATGTGACTCAGTAGGGGCCGGTGGCTCTGCTATCGGAAGTGGCTTGGAGAATGCCTTCTCTTGTGCCTTCAACCAATCCGGGGTTGCGCATGCTGATATCGCTGACGCATCGTAATTCAGACTGGAAGGATCCGCTTCGCCCGTGGTGAGTAGTTTCTCGATTGCTTCACGCAGGTCCTGCGGATCGACGTTGTCAGAAGCTCGCGTAACGGCCCACTGCGGGTGGTTGACTTTTATGGATAGCTGCCTTGAACGAGACCCTTCCGACGATACGGTGGAGGTGTCTGAGAGACCAGGTGGGTCGCCATGGGAGTGACTTCCGTTATCCGTACGGCACTCCTCTGACACCGGTTGCACCTGAAATACCTGAGAGGACTTCGTCGCTAGTGGGCGGATACATGGCCACGAAAGTGACTCTTGCATGAGGTCGTGGATGTCCGGTTCTGTTGACAGTGTGTCCAACTCCTCCAACTTCTTCGCTACCCCCGGGTTCTGCGTACATCGCAGCTTAGAGAGGTACGCGCTGCATGCTTGTGTGTTGGAGAGTGGATGACCGTAGTCGATCAGATCTTCCAGTACCGTCGTGAATTCAGTGTTGAAGTCCTGGATGCTTGCGTACTGGTCGATGTGTAGGTTTAGGAAGTGGCAGAATGCGTGGTGGTATCCAGAAAAGCTGAAGACACCGAAACTATCGTCCAATGCTTGCAGCATTTCTTGCGAAGTGTGGTTGATGGGAGGTAGGGGTGGCCCGACTTCGAAGACTTCCTGCATCACTTCCTCTGCCACGGAAAGAAACATGTCCAGCTTGACCTCGCGATCTTGTCGAACCCATGCTCTTCGCTCCTCGAGCAGACTCGGCTCTACGTCTTTCGTTTCCTCTGAGGAGATGTCTGGAAATGGCCGTGCCTTTGGCATAGGCATGGGTAGAGCGCCATTGCAGTATTTCCAAGTATCTTTCGATTCCAGCGCGAACTGGAGACTGCGTCGCCAGCGAGAGTACTCCGGCCCGCTGGAGTCTAGTTTTAGGATGGGGACGCCGGGTAGGCGTGGAGAGGTTTGTGGCTGCATTGGTCCTGGTTCCGCAGGCGTAGCTGCACTTCTGAACGGTGCAGTTGATGGAAGGAGCTCGTAGGAGAATAATCACCGAGGAGACCAAGCACATTTGAACATCACCGCATAACACCACAGCCCATCAGCATCGTCTCACCAGAATATGGCCGCATGCACATCAGCCCTGGCACCCTAGCTCTTTGTTCCAAGGCCGGACTTCCACAAAGGCGAGCCAACCGTAGCTTGAAGCATACAGCCATGCACAACCACCATGATCCCAGATTAGGTCTCGCACGCACCAGGACCCCTTACCTACACAATCATTGAATTGGGTTTGGGCCGTTTTCATCGAGTACCAAGACTGACGTGTAGCAGACTTCTGGCCGTTGACCGTACTCCGCGTCGGGTAGTAATGGGTGCGCAAGCGAATCAAAGCTATGGAACGCGTGGCGGTATGAGGATTATTGGTCGTCGGAATCCGGTGGCTGCGGGGAGTTTCTCTGTTCCCGCCTCATCTTCATGTCCGAAACGCAACGTTGCGGCTCTTCGCGGGATCAGGCGAACAATCGAAACTTTTTGACATCGGCCCTTTTGCCGCCCATGACGGTGTCAACGTCAACTATGATGACTTGGCTCGAGCAGGATTGAGCTCTCGGTCTGCGAAGAACGGTAAGCGGGCGGGGTCGTTCGGGATTACGAGTGTCTGGGTGGAGGTGTGGAGGCACCAGGCTCCTAGATGCCACCCCACCACATCGACGCACCGTCCCAATCTTCATCAACTGATATATAATGATATTGAATTCGCATTCTTTCATCGAAGCAGCAATAGCAGCAAAAACGGGGGCGTTGTGGCGGAGTGGTTATCGCGCAAGACTAGAAATCTTGTTCCTTCGGGAGCGTCAGTTCGAATCTGGCCAACGTCGATCTTTTTGCGCATGCAGGGCAGTAGGTCTCTCTGGCTGAAGCCCTACTTTTTGCGCTATTCTACGTGACAACGTTGTGTTGACTGACAAGCCCATCTTGGCGTGTACACACTCCCCAGTCCGGACAGCTGCTATCTAACTTCCCATGCCACCGCGACCCTTTCCGTTTCCCTTCCGCGTGGGCACCGATATTTGCAATGTCCCAAGAGTGCGATCCATCATCACGCCCCGTGCCGGCAGCGAAGGCGAGCCTCTGCGCCCTCTGCGTCACTACCTGAAGCGAGTGTTTACCGAGCACGAGCGCCAGTATTTCTGGAATCGCTTTGGGCCCGAAGAATCCGTATTGGAGAAGGCAGATGTAATCTCTAACTTTCTCGCTGGCAGGTGAGTATTCGCATAAGCTTAATCTCTCAACTACCAGCTTACGTGATACAAGGTTCGCAGCGAAAGAAGCTTGCCGCAAAGCAATTCAACACCTCGACATTGTTCAAAGAGGGTTCAAGCATATCATGATCCTCCCTGTTACCGCGGTTGATCGCAGTAAGCACCAATCGCTACGGCCCCAGGGCTTGATTTTGGATATGGTCTACGAAGATTTCGAGCCAACATGGGTGAAGCCCGACGGCAAAATCGGAGTGATCGATATGAGCGAGCTCGATGGGCAGCTGTGCGAAATTAGCATCAGCCATGATGGAGACTATGCGACCGCTGTGGCTATAGTGCCGATGGCGGAGAAGTGGGAACATTGATTCGGATGGTTCTGGTGCGGAAGCTCTCGTTTGTCATGTTTTGCTGAACCAATCCATGGATGCTGGTACCAAAGATCTTTGTCAATCATGAAATCTCCATCCCCAATTCGACATAACCACGACCATCACATATGGCTTTATCCATTCTGTTGCTGCCCAGAAAATGCGTCTAGCTGCTTACACGAACGAACTTCCGTAGCGACTTGAACTACACATTACATCACAACATGACAACCACATATACAAGGTCTACGTTTGGCAAGTCCAACATGTTCGCGCCCGCGCTGCCATCAGCATGGCAGCGTATACAGCAGGATCCAATACTCTTCATCGCACAGTGGTTATATGCTCACCGACCGCTTTCGACAATATCACAGCCCGCGTCCACAACATCGAAGTCCGCTTCTACGATCCGTGTTAGGGTTATCTGCATCTCCGATACGCACAATGAGCAGCCGCATGTACCGAACGGCGACATCTTGATCCACGCCGGCGATCTGACAGTCAACGGCACATTTGAAGAGCTGCAGTTACAGCTCGACTGGTTGAACAGTCTGCCACACCAACACAAGATCGTCATAGCAGGGAATCACGATTTGCTTCTCGATCAGTCCTTCTTTCGCCGCAACCCACGACTTGCAAGCCGAGAGAATGATGAACGCAGACTGCGAGATCTCAGATGGGGAAGTGTAGTATACCTCGAGAACGAGCTGAGGGTGCTCAACGTTCGGGACAGGGACGTCAAGGTCTATGGAAGTCCCATGACGCCGAAATACGGCAACTGGGCGTTCCAATACCAAGCAAAAGACATGTGGTCAAACACTGTCCCGGAGGCGACGGACATACTCGTCACGCATGGCCCTGCCAAAGGCCACCTCGACTCGTCATCCGCGAACCCATCTTACTTGCAGGGCTGTGCTCATCTTCAGCGGGAACTTTGGCGCGTGAAGCCGCGACTCCATGTCTGCGGGCATATTCACTCAGGAAGGGGCGTCGAGTGTAGTGACTGGGGATGGCTACAGTGGGACTATGACGCTGTATGTTGTGGCGAAGAAGGACGCGTCGTCGTCCTGAGGATGCTGGCTTGCTGGGTCTGGCTGTGGGTACTCTGCATGTTGGGAAGAGCAGCGAATGGACGGACTATGACGAGTGTTAATGCAGCAGTTGTTGGTGAAGGGCTCGCAGAAGGCGAGCAAACTCTTCTCGTAGATCTTCGGTAACTTGCAACGATTGCCACGTCATGAGACACCTCTCCTCGTTGTACACGTAACATGTACTGTTTGTATGCCTCAACACGATGTCAAGGTTTACGTGCTGTCTCTTCATCCCCAGTGGCACTCCACAAACAGCAGACGGAGACACATATCGTGCAAACCATATACAGAAGTCCAATGGGTGGCTTCTGGAAGTCGGTAATGCCCAGTTTACAAGAGTGCTTGGCCACCAAAGTGGAGATGAAGATTCTAGGTTCATGCGTGCCGTCATGCCCCACCGATCCTCGTGGAAGCGACACAGAACGCGTTTCGGGAGACAAGATCCATAAACAACGACCCTGCGAGAGGCTGCGGCATGTGGATCTGACAGGAAACAACAGTGGAAGCCGAACATAAGGTGAAATGCAGCCTCAGCCTCAGCCTTGTGTACTCCGGAGCAGTTGAAGCCTGCATAGAGTATAGGACCAGAAATATAGCATGAAAATGACGATCGCAACCGTGCCCAATGCAGAGGCGGGGCCTGGGGCTATATGTTCAGATCGTTAAGCAATGTTCTTCTTCTAGTCGGCAGGAATGGTTTCGAAACGTTCAAGCGCATGCCGGCAAGGGTGGTCTCACGGTGTTGGAATGTCACCCAGCACAGCACAGCACAGCAAAGCGCGTGCATGCTGTTCAGGTCTAAAAGATCAGCTTCAATCGCCATGTTTAACCGTGGCGGCGGAAGTCTCCTTGCGATGCTTTGAATTACGGGTATGTTGGCCTCGACCAAATGGTAAAGCCAAGCGACAGAAAGGGGAATCCCAGGAAACGAGGAGACAGCCCGATGCCGCGGTGCATTGGCTGGACCATTGGATCGGCTCAGACCTGTGGGTTGGATTCGCACCTTCCTCGTACAGTGCTACGCAGGAGCTTGAAACGAGTCACAGTACCCGATGACAAGGCGAGCCTCGGCACCCGCCAGGTGGAATGTTTGTAGAACGTCGACAGACAACCAAATATAGCTGTGGCAGGCGTTCATAGTCGCAGACCGAGAGATATGAAACGTTAGAGCACGGAATGCGCATCTGAGGCGCTGATGGAATGGCGTCAGTCAAGGCCATGCTGACTTGAGAGATGAAGGACAGTCCAGTCAGAAAGTACCGGTACCAGGAGCCGACGTCGAGGCTGCAGTCCAGGTGAAGGCTAGCCACGGACAGGGGCTGCCTCGAACCTAGGGCGCTGTAAAGTTCATGTCGTTCGCTGGGGCGCAGGCGTGGAGGCGGCGAGCAGAAGTCGAAACCAGCCGTCTGCCCTAGGACGAACTTTGGCGAGTCGTCGAGAGGACAGTCCTGGACGATGCAGGCAAAGCGCACATGGCTGTCAAAAAACGATAGCGTGGTACGGTAGTAGTTGGTCGCACTTCGGAATGACTGTGGACACAGGCCGGCAAAATGGCTTGCTCAGCGAAGGAATTGGGTGGCTGCAGGCGATACGCAGCCCTGCAGTTTCCTACAGTCAGCCGGTAGAGACGTTGGAATAACAGTGTGCAGGGCCCAGGAAGGTGCCGCGATATTGCTTCTGAGCGAACAATCAAAGCATGTCCACGGGGTTGGGTGCAGCATGAGGCGGCGTGGTGAGCGATCATCATCATTCGCATGCGAGCGGGACCCGTGTCATGCCGAAATGAAGGGCTCGGCAAGGGCAAGGGCAAGGGCTGCGCCTTCTCTTATTGGCCGCCTGATGGCCGTTCCTTCCTCAGCAGCGTGCGCATCGAACGGTGGGGAGCAAGGCGCTGGAGATGGACATCAACACTGCGCAGGCGGCCGCCTCCAAATTCCTCGAAATTGAGGGTTCAGTCGCCGTGTCGTAGGCAAGGGATACTCCATGTCTTGGGCTATACGGTAGCACAGCCGGGGTATATATGTATTACCCTTGGCTAGTGCGGTTTGAGCTCACAGCCGTCTGCACGACCAGGGCCTCGCGGCCAGATGCAAATTAATCCACAGGCGCACCGTGGCGGCATGCGCAATCTGCTGCTGATGGAGACACAATGTCCGCTTCGCCTTTTCGTCGTCGCAGCCTCTGAAGTCTTGCTGTCTCCTGTCACATAACCTTCCCATCGTATCCACCCGCGACGTCAACAGCGAACTACT